ACCCCCCCCCCCCCCCCCCCCCCNCCCCCCCCGATTCTAATGTCACTTTCACTAATACCATGTGAATTCTAAATGCAGAATCAGCTGTCAAATATTTGCGTATTTATTTATTTAGTTATTTCAAATGGGAGGCGTTTTGATGGTTATAATTAGCCCTTTAGTTGACTGCGGGCTCCACAGAGGGGGAGGAACATCAAAGTGAGAAAAATTCGGGAGGGGGAACAGAAGAGTGTTTCACAGATGTAAAAGAGATAGACAGACAGGGACAAAGGAAAAGAAGAAAAGGTATTGTGAGTACTGTGGAAGTAGTCGAATATGACATACAGTGGGGTGGTGGTTGTTTAAAGTCAAAAGTCAGCTGCCAGTCAATAGACTTTTTTGCCGTATGAGTATACGTTGCCCAGGATGCACCACGTAGAGGTAGGTCTATCGCACACCATAAGTAGATTAATAATTTAGTTTGTAAGACCTTAGTCCACCTAATTCTTAATAACATTTTACTGTGCATGGGGCTACCATACTATGCAGCGCTCTAAAGCCGAGCAGCCAAAAGCAGCTTGCCCAACGTAAAGTGCACTCGAATTGACATTTCCCATCACTCATCTCAAGTAGATTGATGACAAATGACATTCAGCCAATATCCTATCGGCCAACTTTCGTGGGGGTGTAGAGGTCATGAATCAATGAAAGCCACATCCATGACAACTGCTTCCGCAGACTCGCGTGAGTTGTCTGCCACGCTACCATCGAAAAACTGTCATGCAAAGTAAAGCACCTCTTTATCCAACCCTCAATACTTTACTTAAATTAAATCAAATGGCAGGCGTTTTGAGAGTTATCATTAGACCTCATGTTGACTTCAGGCTTCACAGAGGGGAAGGAACATCAAGGTGAAAAAAGTCGAGAGGGGGGGGGGACAGAAGAGTGTTTCAAAGATGTAAAACAGACAGACACAATGGTAGGGAAAAAGGTGAGGTGAGTACTGTGGAAGTAGTCGAATATGGCATACAATGGGGTGATGGTAGCTTAAAGTTAGAAGTCAAATGTAAGTTAATAGACTTTTTTGCCGAATGAATATGCGCTGTCCAGGGTGCACCACGTGGAGGTAAGTCTATCGCACACAAACTTCCGGTTAATAGACTTTTTACCGTATGAGTATACGTTTCCCAGGGTGCACCACGTGGAGGTAAGTCTATCGCACACCCACCAGGGTGCACCACGTGGAGGTAAGTCTATCGCACACCCCTTGTGGTGCACCACGTGGAGGTAAGTCTATCGCACACCCCATGTATACATATATATAAATTAAATCGACTTTTACTTTTAGATCCAAGCAGGTTTTGACCAAGTAAGTTAACATTCTTGAATTTTGTACTATTTGAAGTTTTGGTTGACCAAACATATGATGGGTAATCCCCTCCCTCCCCCTATTGGGAAAACGATCGTTCTATCTACGTTTTTACTCTCATTATATTCCTTTGATCACGGCAAAAACAAAAAGCATTCTAAACTGGTTTATGAGAGATAAAATTAGTTTTTTTGCAGGAAACCGGGCAATTAATTTCACTTTCAAAACGGTATTTATTCGAATATCGATTTCGCAATTCAATTATGAATAATAGGGATTGGTCAAATTAAACATTTTATCGATTTTTTTTGTATAAACCCTAGATTTGCGTAACCGAAAGCAAACTGCCCTGGATTGGGGATGCGTATAAACTTGCAATAAACGCCCATTGGTCACAAATCAACAATGCAGGCTAAGTAGCCACCAATGAGCACTTGTTCACCATAAACATCGGAAATCTTTGTTCCGAAATACAATACTTCAAAGTTTGGCTCATTTGTTTTCTTAAGTGTCGGAAGTTCTGTACAACCTTTTTCAAATATAAGAGCCTTATTTTTACCAGTTCCCTCGTTAAATTGAATTATGACAGACGGAGCTTTGGAGAATAGCCCGAATTATAATTGACACTACTCCTCATCGAATGATCCCATGTGCTCATCTTACTAAAGACATGACTGTTGCAAATTTACATCAGTGTTCCTACCCCTTCGAAAGTACTCATCTTACCTTTTTTATGTCTTTGTGTCTGTCTGTCCGTCTCTTTTACATCTGTGAATCACTCCTCTGTTCCTTCTCCTCTATGTGAAGCCCCGAAGTCAGCTCCAGGGCTAATGATAACTATCGAAACGCCTGCCATTTGATATAAATAAATAAATATTTGCATTTAAATAAATGTATTTCATCCGCATGCTCAATTGAATAGGGGAGGCGTCTTGAGTCCGACATTCAAATTCTCACTGATTGCATGGATGTCCTCTAATTTGAGTTGAAATACTTTTCGATGACTAATACACTCACTCAATTGCTTTACTGTACTTTCTAGTCACACAATTAACTTTTGGTGAATATCAAAATCCTTTTCAAATTGTTTGAGAGCTTATCTGCTGCAATGAATGTTCTTCTAATCTTTCTAATCCATCTAATAACACTGTGTCCCACTTCCACGGCAAATTGTTCTCCATCACCTGTGATGCTTTCTACTGCAATTCTTATTGAGGATGGCATTGGTAATATTACATTACATACATCGGACTGAGATAAATTAAAGAAATCAATCTCATACACTTTATGAAATCCCCGTTCTTATAGTCATTCCAACCCCATTTGCCCAGAAGGACATAAGGGAGATTGCTATACTTTTGGTTTTCCTGCAAATCATAAATCTTCCACCAGGATCGAGTCTCCAGAATATTTTGATCATTGTAACCCCATTCGACCAAAGCCCACGCGCATATTGATTGTCATGAGCGATAAGCACCTGGTGGTTGGTAAATGCAAGCATGCTAATAGAATCGATCTTGTTAAACCCTTTTCCTGACTTCAAGGGAACGGGGTGTGCTCCCTGGACAACGTATGCTCATACTGCAAAAAAGTCTGTTAACCGGCAGTTGACTTCAAATTACCATGACCCCACTGTATGACATATTCGACCACTTCCACAGTACTCAACTCACATTTTTTTCTAAATTTTCAACCTTCGTCTTTGAAACACTCTTCAGTTCCCCTCCTCTCGACTTTATTTCACTTTGATGTTCCTTCACCTCTGTGAAGCCTGAAGTCAACTAAAGGGCTAATGATAACCATCAAAACGCCTGCCATTTGATATAAATACTTCAAGGGAACAGTATCAAAAGCGGTTGCCGAAAATTCGGAAGATGTTAAACAGGATCTATTTGTATGCTCTTGAAACCCATAATCTTATACTGGCACTTTCATATTCAAAGTGACCTGCGATCTTCGTCAGGTAATGGCCAATCAACGCAAACAAAAGTTGTGCCAGATGAGTTTTATCAATTATCAGTTAATATTTAATCACTTATAAAATTTGGATATTTGTTTTAACTTACCCAAATACAGGTCGTGGCTTTGATTGATTTGAAGGAAATTATTATCTTTAGTTATCTAGGTGTTTCGTTGAGTTGGCTATTTTGGTAGTTAATGCAGTTTTGTTAACTCAAAACACTCTAATATTCTCTTAAAATGCAAAATATAATAATATAATAATAATATACCTTGCCTTCACCAACTTAAAGAATCTCAGTAACGGATTAGTTGGAATGACGCAGATTAATCATTTTTCTCCAACCATCAATTTACAAAAGCATCCAATTTGAATTGATCATGTAAGCCCCTGTAAATATTTGAACTTGTTTGGGTGATAAAAAATAAAGATCCAATTGATTGGTTTGATATAACTCAAGCCTGTCACTATGGCGCCTTGGAGCTGCCACTCTCATACCCCAAATGAGTGTTGAAAGCGATTTCCTTTGAAATTATTATTATTCTCATCTCGAGAAGTTACTTGAAGATTTTCTGAGGCGTTTAAACCAACAAGTTTCAATCTAATGACTTGTCTATTGTGTGTATCAAATGGCAGGCATTTTGATGGATATCATTAGCCTTTTAGTTGACTTCAGGCTTCACAGAGGGGAGTAGGAACATCAAAGTGAAAAAGTCGAGAGGGGGGGACAGAAGAGTGTTTCAAAGACGAAGGTAGAGAAAAAGATGAGGTGAGTACTGTGGAAGTAGTCGAATGTGACATACAGTGGGGTGATGGTAGTTTGAAGTGAGAAGTCAACTGTCGGTTAATAGACTTTTTTGCCGTATGAGTATACGTTGCCCAGGGTGCATCACGTGGAGGTAAGTCTATCGCACATCCCACTTGTCTATTGTAAATAACTAAAAAACTGGTCATATAAATTCTTGAATATTGCTAGGCATTATAGGTGTAAATTTATTCCCCACTGTAACATTCCTGATGGAATTTGACCTTCAGATTGAGCTTAAATGGTTACTTTGCTCAGTTAGCCTCATTGAAGAGCCTAATTTCTAGCAATAAACGAACAAAATGGATCACCAAATAAATCATTTAAAATGAGGAAACGGAAGTGTGGCCAAATTGGATTATGAATAACCAAGACAGGTCGTGGTTTTTCCATATTGATTTATGGGATTGAAAATCTAGCCCACTTTTGAGTCATTAATAGCAAGCCTTCGATTCACGTCGAAATGATTAGCATAATAATTTAATAAATTACATATTAAGTTGCTTGATAATCACATCTCCATCCAATCAGTTTCCTCAATTTTAGCCATTAAATCGTTTGCTTTTTAAATGCACCTTTTCTCCTTATTTACCCCTAGCTTAATACAACAAATCACTCATGATTTTTGAACCAAAATTTAGGTAATGAGTAAACTGCATTAAAAATCACTGTGATTACAATTAGGAACTTTCAAATTTCACAATTTTTAAATATTTTATCCAGCTCCGTAGCAAGAAAATTAATTCATTTTTCTACAATTTTAGTTTATACCTACTCAAATGAATAAACAACCGGAATTCCGTAAGTGCCAGTTTTTTCATCAATATTTAAAATGACTCTTCTGTTGTAAAGAAGTAGATACCGATGATACCTTTGTCACGCCGAAAATGGATTTGAAATTTATCACAGATTCTCTCGCTTATCGTGCCATGTTGGCTAACCCGGAGGTGCATCTGGAGGGTTACAATAATCTCAGGTCTAATGAAATAAAAGGACTCATTAGATTTACCCGAGAAACATTGACTGGGATTATGAAAAAATCATCGACAGATAGCGAATCGGAATTAATAGCCAAGTTGGAAAGAACACTTCTTCAAGATTTGGACGATGCCATGAAGGAGGAGGAGAACGCGAATGGTGGTGCAGTCGGCGAACCCAACACGCAATAATGTGAAAAAGAAACAAATGAATTAAATGTTTTACTTATTTGGGAATCGTGTTTTTTTGTCAATATTTTATTTTGCGTACTGTTGGCTTGATAGTTTAAGTTCCTTTTAAGTAACCAGAATACTTTGAGCCGACAAAAAGTCTGCTCAAAGAATGGAACATTATTAAGACTTAACGGAATGCCCTGAAGATTATTTAGTTGATTTATTGATTTATTGATTGGTCAATACTCCCACGTAATGACCCAGTAATCAAATATTATGATTTGGCTCTTTGATTCATGACGATGATTGTATTGACGGTATTGGAATCTTGTCGGTTGCTTGTATGTTTACTCCAACCATCTCAATATATTTGCATTTGGTCATTACTAAGAGCCGGTAGATGAGATATATTGAATTTTTATTGAATAATAAATTGAATTATTGTGACTCACATCTGGTGAATACTTGGCATAGATAAGTAAATGAACAAGGTGAATAATTAGTAATTTTCACATAAGTTTGAAAGAAGAGAAGCAGGGCTTCCATCTATATTCAATAATTGTAACCCGTGAATACAATATTTGGTATTCAAGGCCCACAATAAGTCTAATTGTTTGATATGAACAAATTCGCTTGCAAAATAAAGCATAATTTTTGAAAAAGTTCGTACTTCTAAATTCAGCCACTCGCAACTAAGCTGTGTTCGAGGTTATTTAAAACACAACTTAAGCATGGTGTACGTAGAGGCCTTCAGACTAATCAACGGCCAATATACGATTATCCGACCAGTCATTGGCCCAATTCATTACGTGATTGTCATACCAGAAAGTTCATATTGTGACTAAGTTCCCCATCCATAATTGGACAATCCCAAATAAATGTGTTTCATGTCATAAGTCTGTTTTCTCCATAACTTTGCGGTACCTTGGCCAATAATAGGACCCCTCTCAAACATTGGGCAATCTGCTTCAGGGACTTCTAGGTGTATTCAAGGCTTATTGGTGTAGAAATCCGCTACAAGGTAAAGCACAATATATTTTCACTGATTTAAGCAACTTTGTATCACAAATCAATAATTGTAAGTATAACGACAAATCCCAAATTTGTAATCATGTTAATTTAGGTTGAAGCTCTTATCAAGGATATTTACTTCCATGTCCATTTCAACAAATTTCTGGACGTAAATATATGATCGTTGTTTTACAGAAAAAAATTGAGACAAATATAATAATTGATACTGCATTGGCCAATTTATATACTCTGAAATAACATTTGTAATAGGATATCTCACGCTTTCCATCTTTACTGAAAATTACTGGTTCAATCGATTCACTGGATTTGATCAGACTTGTCAGCTTCACTATTTATTTTGTGATGTGCACAATGCTACTGTAACTGAGCAGAGAAATCGCGTATGCATTCGAACGGTCTGGAAGATGTACTAAACAATGTACTAAACGAGAATGGAGCAAATGTGATGAGAGTACTGAGATTTCTCAGACAAACACCGGTCAATAAGTGTTACAGCGTTGTGTAGACCTAATTTTATTCTAGTGACTAAGATTTGTGTCAGAGACACAAACCGTCTTAAGCGTTATTTACTCCACAAGGTATCTCCTCTATAGTTTTGAGGCAGCTTATCAATTACGTACTACGAAATTTTATCGAAGAAGATGGTCGAGGATCGATCAAGGCTTGTTTGTGCGTCATTCACTACAATATCAGTTCATAAATACCTGAAACGATCTGCAAGGTAATATCCCAAGCTGAGAATAAAACAATGTACTCTTCGTTATACCGAAAACTTATTATAGCTCCACAATTGAAATTTGTTCATCATTTAAAAATTTACAATAATTCATAAGAATAATATTAGGTTTGAAATGCTTGTGAAAAAATTAGAAAGCATATATAAACATTTTATTAAGAAAATGTGCATGCTTTGTCTCAATAACGTTTTCTTCTAGAAAACTTTGGTCGCAGCACATTTACTTTATATCAAAATGCGCTTGTATCTATTTAAACCTATTCCAAAATATGCAAGTAAAATATAGTAAGATACCAGAAAATAACTTGAAAAATCACAGCCTCTTGAATTTGCCCGCCATGAAAACCCACGAATTATTTAAGATTCCAATAAGTTGTATGACTTTCTTACGGATAGACTGGATGCATAAGGTTCCACTCAACTATCTTAGAAAGTTCCTGAACAGGATATTTTATTTTGTAGAATTATCTTAAATGGAAATTAAGATAAAACTACAATTGAAGAAATGAATATATACAACACCATTCAAATTAGGTTCAAACAATCATAATTTTGTCTCAGTGGAAGCGTCCTGAAGATGCTTAGTTGAGATGCTAGATTTTTATCAACTGTCTGGTTGATTATACCTAAGCTGTGCGGTTGAATGTACAGGCACTTAAGTATTGAATATATGATCCCAACTAGTCTCACGAGCGCGTTGACTGCTGTATTCAAAGAGTAGTATATTAGTATTTTGTAAGGGAAGAAGTTTTAAGAGGACACGAAGTATGAAAAAGCAGATGACGCCCATTGCATTGAAATTGAAATTAGCTTGAAAAGTATTTTATTCAAAATGCTGCTTTAAAATATTTCAGCACAACATGCGATATGATAAAAGTAGCAAAAAAGGAGACAGAATATGTAAATAATTAACCAAACAAAGCTTTTTCATGTAAAGAGTTAAGCGATCATTCTGTCGTTTATCATTAGTATATATACTAAATCATTAAATTTTCGATATTGCAACATTTATTTGAAATTAAAATTGCATAGTGGTTGCTATTATTTTTATGGCTAAAATGCGCAGCATTTTAGGAATACTCAACTCAAATTAACGACCTTTAGCCTTTTAATCTTCTCACGAGGTGGAGGTCAGCGCGAGTCACACTCGCTGTCGCCGCAAATGTTCGGGTCATTACATAGAAGGGGGTTCACATTTCTAAAATGTGGAACTGAACGCTTTTTCTTTAATGATTTTTGCTACACAGTAGGGTCTTCATTTCATCCATCGCGTTTAAATCTACATTTGACACCACTTTATCAGCTACATCAACATTCAACTTCATTCCCTCCAAAAAATTATTGTAAATCCGGTGTATATTTTCAACGCATGAATTTCCTGAGTTCTCAGTCAGAACCACCAAAGCCGTCTGCAAGTGATGCTTCCGATGAAAAAGTTTCATTGGTTCAACGGTTTAAAAATGCCTACAAAGTTTACGGCAAAGTGTTAATCGTTGTTCATGGTGTTACTTCTGTCGCATGGCTGAGTCTTTTCTACCTTATTGCCTACAGGTGAGCTAAAAAAATTATTATTGTTATTTTTCTGTAGTCAATATATTATGCTCATAATTTACATACAGCATCGACTTCCAATCAAACTAAATCATATTTCTTACAATTGTTGAAAACTTGCCCACTGGCATATATTGGAGTAGATATGAAAATGAGTTTATGGATTTTTAGTACTTTAGGTTATTGGTAGATATTTTTTGATTCCTTTGGAGGTTATGCATGAAAATCCCTCTCTTTGTTTTGGTTGGTACCAAAACATTTCTTCTTGAAAAATTTCCTCCTATCAGTTTTTTTCTTGCGCGATATGTCTTGTCGTTTCCGATAACATTTGAAGGTTTGTGGTTATATTCTTCATGAAATTCATTTTCTTACTTCTCCGGATGCACATTTTTTAATCATTTTTTGAAGAAAATATCCTTGTGTCTCTAGGGCAAACATGTCAGCAAATCTTGATTCCATTTATTACAATTGCAATATTAATTTATTTTAATATTCTAAAAGGAATAGTTACAGTCGTGACTTTATAGTAGGTGACAGATTAATTTTCTGTTGCATTCAGATTTGTGCTATTTTCAACCATCCTTGGCTTACACTAGAATTCGGTTAGTCGTGAGTATGGCATTGGAAGTCTATTGATCTGAGAAACTTTGGTCTCTTCAATAGTGCAAAATAATGTCTTCTTTTGTGTGAGAATCCACACACCTTGCGCCTTTTTCGAATCTCTTTGATGTTTGCTCATTTAGCGATATTATTGGATGATTTAGCTCTTACAGCTGACATAACCTTTACCTATAACATTTAAAGTACTCGGTAGCTTGTTAGAAGTTCAATTGGCATTATTGCTGACAAGACAGTTCTGAGGTTAATTGGGGAATTGGTGGTGATATTTTTATGTTCGAATTTTTCACTCTCTTATTCGTTGCTAGATTTGTCATCTAAAACCTCAATTCCCTTGTGGGACAGGCACTCCGCTGATAGTCCATCACTACCATGCAGTTGGTCGCCTCATTTATCTGCTATCCCGCCAATTTTTTCTCTATTAGTAGCCACTTTTTAACAATAAATTCCAAGGTTTTGAGTATAGTAGGTCAAGCAGGGCCGAGATTTAACTTCGCTCTTTAGATTTTGATTGACTGAGTTATCTTTCTTACTTCGTATTTTAATGGTTTGATTTCGTTATTTTAACGTTGTTCCCCAAATGAAATCCAATCTTACTGATCGTTTATTTATTTATTGCAGAGAGCTCACTAGATTTCATTCAAGGAAAATTCTAATCACTCTACGCATCAGTATTTGTCCTCAAGGTTATTTCCCATTGGCCTTAAAAACAGTCATGATTGCACCGTCTTGCCTATTTGTAAAGAAATTAGTTTGTATTTAGTAGTAATGGCTTAGCGATGGCACTTGTGCCTACAAGATCTCATTGTTTAGATCCATTCTAATAATCGGCAGTTCTAGTCAAAATCTATCAGCATTGTATTATTAGGCTTGTTTATAGCTGTGGCTTTGTTAAATCTAGCTGAAAGTATGACTCGAAGGTGGATCTCCTATTCTTCATCATCTCTCTTTTTTTGTTTACAATGTAGATGAGAGTGGGCTATTACCAAAGCCTATAAAGTCCAGCAATTTCGGCACTCATACTCGATACTGTCTGTGTCTTGGTTAGCTATGTAGTTTATGAGCTACTATTTTAGTCTTAGTTTCCGGAGGTTGTCCCTTCCCTTAATCCTCTCCTGTGTGCTTTTAGTGGCCTAGATGTGATCTCTGTGCTGAGAGGCGTAAAGTATCTAGACTGGGTGATCGAACCGATGTTGTCCCATGGCCTAGGTTTGTGGGCATCTGCTCTTATTCTCTACAAGCTCAGTGCTCCTTTCCGCTACTTAGCAACTCTTGCTACCTCTCGATTCGTGATCCGCTCAATGCGTGCTTGTGGAATGGCTCCGCCTCTGGCAGAAGAGGATAGACTTCGAAATCTGGCCCGCCAGGGTGTTCGTCTGTCGCGAAAACGCATAATTCAGTCGAGGGATAGAGTGCGTGTCCGCTTAAGATCGGTTTCTTTTAAACACCGACCCAAGAAGCCACCTTCTTAGTTGTTATTTAAAAGGTACTACTAGTTATTAATTAAGTAGAATTTCGATATTATGTACAAATAAATGAATTCGCTATGCACTTTCACAATTCCTAGACCTATGCTTCTGTTCAAGCGGGGTATCAGTTTAAAGTGTTGGCGAACGAAAATGGACGACGCGTGTGTATCATGGTCTTGGTTGCATTACTTGCTCATCAGTACAGATCGTGGTATTTGACTCTTTGACGGTGTCTCAGTGTTTTGGTGGGATTAGAAATTAGTAGGAATGGCTGCCAGTGCCAATCAAACAATGTAGGCATGGTATTACTTCGGTTTACTTTTTCGGCATGCGGAGTCTGTTCTTTTTGGATTACTATTTGTGCGTAACGTAGTCAACTCATTTATTCGCACTGACTTTTTCTTCACGGTTTCTTATAATTAGATAATTGCCTCTACTATTTGTGCAAACGATGCAATATATCTGCGCATCCTTCATCCGAACAATGGTATACTTAAATGCATTAGATAATGCCATTCTGTTTGAGGCGATATTCTTTTTTAATCACAATTTACCATCCTTAACGTAAAATGTGAATTTCAACTTAGTAATTCATAGCCTTCACTGTGATTGCTAGACTTCATCGGTGCGTTTAGCTGTTACGTTCACCGAGTGTCCGTGACCGTTGACTTCGCAAACGAACAACAAGCTTATCAATTTTTGTTAACTGCACGTAAACTTCGAATAATGCTTCAGTAATGTTGGAAGTTTTGTCAAAAGTGCATTTACCTAAATACCAAGAAGTTAAACGTTTATTGTTTAAATCAAACCAAGCCCATATATTATCATTTTTCCTAACACAACTGCTTGTGTTGCAGCAATACTAAATTTCACAACTGGAATGACTTTTACCTCGTGATAAGCTGATGAAAACTGTTTGGAAATTAATAAAGGATCCTTCCAACCTGATAACTTCAAAATATAAATTGAACGCCAAAAGAATTACAGCGGCAACTATTTTGCCGTATTTATTTTATTTTGATAAAAGAAAACATTTTAGCATATGCACTTTGAATATATTCAACATACTAATAATGGATCTCTTTCCGCAAGCATCTGTCCTACATGGTAATGAAACTCACCAAGTTGGCAAACAACCATTCACTTCGTAAGTAAACGGAAGCACTTTCATGGAGAGAACAAAAGAAAGCACTTTTGTTAATGTGAATCCCAAGTTAGTTTAGGAGAGATATCTTCTTCCACCAATCATTTTGAGCAGAAGCTGCATCTTGGAGGCTCTGATAAGAGGATCGCAGTGTAACAAACATGGTGTTTTAAAGCACCGACTATTACACTTATTCAATGAATCACTTCGCTTTATTCGAAAGTTGTTTCGGATTTCTGTATAGATTTCTAGCTGATGTGCAAAGGATTCTAGCCTTATGCACGGTTTCAAGCATTTTTAAGAGCACATCGCCTATATTGGAATTAGTGTTAGACCCTAATTTAAAATTTATCAGGGATAGTGGGATAAAATGGAGAAGTAAGCTTTTATTCCTTCAGTGCATATTGGCATTTTGGACCCTGATATAACAATTTCGTGGTGTGCAATGATTATTCTATATACTAGAAGAGTGTCCTTGTATTAGTAACTTATTGAGACAACTACACTGCTATTATTTCCTTGATGGCCTTCTATTTTAGTGGTCTAAATATCCAAGAACTGATGATGAATCTCTCCGCTCCGGAATGGATGATGAAGCCATTTAAAGTTGCCGGTGGCTCTGCTGGAGTCTTCGCAACTGCCTACGTCCTTTACAAAGTTTTTGGTCCGCTGCGTTATATGCTCACTCTCTGGCTAACTCCAGTCATTGTCCATCGAATGCGGTCCATGGGTCGGTTGCCTCCCCTGAGTGAACAGGATCGACTGCGAAACCTCGCCAAAGAAGGCGCCAAGTTAACACAAGAGCGCTTCCGACAAGGGCGAAGGAGAAAGCAACGCAAACGTTCGTCGAAAAGATGACCATTACTAATATTAGGTATTACGCCAATTTTCATCCAGACTCCTCCAGAATGATTAAAATATGACCAAATAATTGCACATTTCTTGAACTATTCTGTTGACTTTTATGTTTAATGAAGCGTGGCAAATGCTTGAATATGCGTAGATATCTAGGTGGCAATACTCACAGACAAGAAACGTAGCGAATAATACTAAATCCCTTTAAAATTTACTCAAAGACCATTCAGGCGATTAAATGACACCTGAAATGCCAAATAAAGAACAGTAAGTACATCATGAAGTTGTTATTCTCATACTTTGACACCCGAATTAGTGAATCTGCGAAGGGCAAGCCACAAACAAGCAATTTAGCGAGATACGATAAGTCAGTAACTCGAGTTTCATTTACACATTTGAGCAATATTGTATACACAGATAGAGGTAGGGGTGGGAATGAGGAGCAAGGGCTATTAGAGAGTAAAATTGAAGTGGGAAGCCATAACGTAGCCAATATACACCGACACCAACAAAAGCTTAACCTAAAAATACAATATAAATCCGATTAGCTCTATTGAGTCACTCAAATGTTAAATTTATTGCACAAGCCGCATGAGTTCTGTAAAGGCAAACAGCAACTAACATTTACCCAAATGATGAACAGCTACATTTTTAGAATGAAACGCCACAAACGACTTATTGCGCAACAAAGGCAAGGAAATCCTATGATATCCGGTCAAATAAAACTCAGAAAAATCGAAAATAGACGAAAGATCACATTCAGTCATTTAACTTGGGAAATAAAATTACACTCACAATAAAGATAGTGCGCGTGAGGGACACTAACCTCATGAGCTTAAAGATGCGCGCACAGGAAGCTTTACTAATACAGAGGCTATTGGAAAAGCAATCCATCTGATAATCGAATAGCATAAACAAAAACAATAAGGGACATCAATAAATTTCAATATTCAGAAAAATTGCTTGGGAAGAGTTGGGGTACAAAAAAACGTACAATTAGCGCCTCTTCTTGTAAGCTTTTTTAGCGCTCCATCGGTTGGTGTTTCCTGAAAATTCCCCTTTATAGTGAGGTTGAAGACCGAAAGGCGCTCCTTCATTGCCTTCTTCCTTGTCTTCCTCTTCAGAAGATTCCTCATCCGAATCATCTTCCTCGTCAGATCGCGGTGGCATATCAGGATCAGAATCACTGGCATAGTCATTGTCGTCTGGCATTTGCACATTGGCGTCAAATTCAATGTCATTATTTTCATCCAAGTGAACTGTGTCTGGTATCTCACCTAGAAGATAAAATCAGAAAGAGGTTAAAGAGAAAAATCTTGGGCAAAGCAAACTTCATTGAATAAAACTCACCGCATGCTTTAAGCTGCCTAGCTTCATCATTAAGGTATTTCAAAATAACATCAGCCTTCTGATCTTGATAATCACGAAGGCTGACAAGGATAATATCACCGCTATTAATCCAAACCTTCTTGCGCATTTTACCACGAATGTGACACAGCCTTTTGACGCCATCGAAACAGTATGCTTCTAGACGGCCGTTGCCAAGAAGACGTTCAACCTTGGCATACTCTGAAGAACGATAATAGTCACAATCGATAAATCATGAACAATTATTACTAAATGGACTTCAAACTTTACTTACGTTGACCTTCATCACGATAAATCAAATCGCGTTTTTGCCCCTCATTTTCATTCTTTCCTCTTCGGCGATTTTTGCCTCCCTTGCCCTTATTTTTAGGCATACCTAAATACAAACAGTCACAAGACTTATGACAAAAGACGCAACACTGCAAGTGACTAAAACAAATCCGGATGCTAAATGTTGACTCTAAAATACACTCTCTAAAAGGATTTGATGTGGTATTTAAGTGCACTTCTTTTTAAGAATAGAAATTTATGGCATAACGTAGATTTTAAAATAGTAAACAAGTCGTGAGTATTTATTTACAATTTCTTGCAGAATTTTCTCATAATTATCGTTATTTTTTTAAACACGTAGACATAATTTTCTATTCATTTTAGAGCAAAAAGTATTTCATTAAAAAATATTCCAATGTAAACAAGGAAATACATGAGCAGAATGAGATTTTATCAAACAATCATTGTCTAAGTCAATACGCATAAAAACCTTTTTAGTTTTATTTAACTTATTTTTAACAAAGTTCGATTTATTTTGGTTTTCAAGTTGAGGCTAAATTTAACTACTTCAATTGTTATTAAAAACAAATAGATATAAAATTATATACAGTCTTCATAGATAGTAAAATAAGTTGAGTTGGTAAATCCAAGGTCGATTCTAAACTTATTCAAACATGAAGTAAATATATTTGTTACTTGGCCACTTATTACTCTGAAAAAATGGGAACTGAACCACTGTTAATTGAACAAATTCCTGTACACCAATTCACCCACGTCGAACTACATTTTATAAACAATTTGTAAAAATAATATTTGTTTCTGTTCCAAACCGTGGATGAACACGATCATTTTGGTGACTCCTTTTTCGGACACGTAAGGTGAAAGCTATAAATATATTTTACAAAATATGTTGAATTAATTCGCAGATGAATTGAATTGTTCTATGTAGCACTTTACAACAATCAAATATTTTATCCTAAAATAGCCCAAATGCTTCATAAATAGATTTTCATTCAAATATCTTTTTACTAAGCACCTTTTCATAATAAAAGTTATGTCATTTTAAATTAGAAGAATTCAAATTTATCTATGCTTAAGTTTCAACAGTGATGTTCAAATAAATCAACATGATATGTATATCTGTGTGTGTGTGGTGGATGAGTGAGTGGGTGTAATTCTAAACTTCTTTTAGATTCAATAATGCTTGGCATAAGGGTAATATTTTTCAAATCTGTATTACTTTATCTGATAAAATGCAAACACTAAAAAAGCTAGTGTAAATAAGAAAGTTTTTGCGCCAAAAAATTTATTAATGCTTTGATATATTAATATTCCGCTTGCTTTACATTTTATTCCATTATATTTATTAAAAAGAAACGATTTCATTAACCAAATTCATTGTAATCAATGAAAATTTAAAAGAATTTTATAATTTTTAAAAGCATTTTAGTTGTTAATTAAAGATTTTAATTACAAGGTGAAATAATTTCTTCAAATGCTTTGTCATTAACGCGAAATTTCGATCGGTTTTTGATCAATTCCTTTTATGGGTAATAATCTTAACCTGAGATTCGAGAATGCCAAAAAAACTGGATCCCTGCAACTAAGCAGCTTAAAATTAAAGAAGACACCAGGTATTTCATTATATATTTTTTTAGATTCCAGATGATGTAAAGAAGTTAACGAACTTGAGGATTCTTGATCTCTCAGATAATTTATTGACTTTTTTGGAACCCTGGATTGGTCTTTTAACAAACATAAAGGTATTAAACATCGCTCACAACAAATTAGGTAGTTATGTCTGTTCTGAAATTTGTCATGAGACAAATTTTCTTTCCATTCAGATTACTTGCCTGAGGAATTGTCACATTTACGCAAATTAGAAACACTCATTGCGTCACACAATAAATTAATATCTTTGTTTAACTCTCAAAATTCAGTCAACTTGAGTTCTTTACTGCATTTACGAAAAGTTGATCTCTCGAACAATCAACTTACTGAGTTTCCTCTTGAACTATGTTCCAGTGGGATCCATCTTGATATTGTGAATCTCTCGAAAAACAAAATTTCCCTTATTCCTGACGCCGCCAGCTCTCTCCAGGTATTATATGTTTTGGATTTATTATGTTCGTCTTGTTGTATTTATAGGTTATAGAACTAGATATTTCCGAAAATAAAGTCACTACCATTTCGGAATCATTAGCCAGATGTTCTAGTTTGAAAATTCTCCGGCTGGCTCATAACAAAATCCAGCAGGGAGAATTCCCATTGGCCCTTCTCGAAAGTTCTAACATTTCTCTCTTATCCATTGAAGGAAACCCTATTTCTCTCAAATATCTGCAAGAATTACCAGCTTATGCGAAGGTATGATCGGAGTTTTTCTCTGGTTATGTTGCTCCAATTTTGTCCCCCTCTATACTTTTATTGGTTATATAAGGCAACAATAGGATTTACTATGCCCTCCTATTTATTAATTGAGTGAATATTAAAGATTTTCCACTTGTGCCCGATCAATTTTTAAAATAAGTTTGCTTTCTTTGGTCATTCATTGAAGTTTTTATGCATGAATTTTTGGATTTTATTCATTCTTCTAATGGATTTTGAACTCATGATCTCCGGTTTATCATCTGTATATATTTCCGTTTCGCTTCCGTTGATTCTCCGTATTCATTTTGTATAGTGAGTGATCGGAATAGCTAATAATTCGTGTTTTTTCCCGAACGTAATTTTCTGTGAAGTGTGGACCAACGCCATTTAGATTTTGTCTTGTTTATTTTGCGAAACACTATCTCTTATTTTGCCAATAAATAGCTTAGTTTTTCGGTATTGATTTAATTTAAGGATATTTTTTTATATTAACCTTCATTACACCCGATAGATCGTGTGTTGATTTGTTTGACAGGAATTTCAGGAATTTCAAATAATTTTCCTAGTTTAAATGGAGCATTTCATTGATTTTGATGACTTTTTTTTCTTAAAAATATTATTTCATTGCCCATAGTAATTTGAAACTTGCGTTTTCAAAATTATATGTTTGCTGATGAAGTAGTAAGTGTGGCCTTACGATGTCGAACACTCAACTCAATGCTCTCTCTACAATCAGCCTTTTTTCTATGAAATATCAGAAGTGATTTTCAATAAATCTCTTGATAGCTTTGTTTTATTTGGAGCAACATCCAATGGCGTAGACATGTAAGCACACATAGCGAGGTTAAGTTGGTTCACCACGTAAATAAGCCCTCTAGTCCCTTGGAATTCACTGGATGTGCATTAAATCCACAACTTGGCAAATGGGCGCAAAATTTTTACCCGAATTTTCCATGTAATTTTCAGAAGAATTCGAGAGAATGTTAGCACATTTTCCAGACTGGTAATCGCTTGTCAACAACACTAAATCTTTAATCCAAACAATTTCGCTTATATTAGTGATGGTTGGAAGCAACGCATGATTTCAGTATATGAGCTTTTGTCTCCTAACCTCTTCTATAGGCCTCCCTTCTTTATATAATCAAAATCGCATTTTGGTTCCCAATGGTGACTAGAGGCCAATTTTTACATGTATTTATTTGGGAAAAGGTAACCTAGTTACAGACCTCACCCATACAGCTTTTGCTTAAGTTACTAACGTGCTGTCGTCTATTAATAAAATTCTCATTTTCCTTTTTTTCTTTTAGTACATGGAACGATATACTGCTACGAAAAGGAAGGGAATGCCGTAGGATACAAACAGATTTGGATTTTATATTTCTTGGTTTCTTCCTCCTACCTGCCATCAATAAAACTAAATTTAATCCGACTTTCAGTGTTAATAAAGCATTTTGAACCAGGGATCAAAAGACAATGAGTTCAAAACGAACTAATATATTTCATAGTCCTAGGTTTTTTGCTGCTTTGCACTGATGAGATCTCTCAGCCCTTGTTGAGCATCAGCAAGACTTTTATTTACATAGTCCAATTTCTTTTTAAGGGCTTCGACAGTTTTGCTATACTCCTCTCGTTGGGTAGCTAGGTCGGTTATTAAGTCTGGGATACTCTTTTGAATGAACCTAGAACAATAATCGAGAATAGGAAAGGTTACATTCGACCAGTGGCGCTGTACGCATTCACATCTTCTGGCATAGAATGTAATTCTTGGGTTACCAGTTCTGAACGGCGGATCTGCTTCGATAGGGCTTCAATTTGTGAGTTTATAATAGCCTTCTGTTGATTTGAAGAGGCCGTTTTAGCTTTTAATTGAATAATTGCCTAAATATTATATTTATGTGAAAAACATAACAAATTAACTTTCTGGATATCCTCATCTACTGATCCATCTCCCATTTTCGCGCTGCTCTACAGGGGTCTTGCAAATTAACCGAAGAATGCGGTGGTTGCGTACTATAATATAACACAGAAAGTATGAAACCTTATAAATTTTTGAAAAATTGAAAAGAAATGATTTTATCTCAAAGAAAATTTATAGCCCTGATAAGTAAATAAAAATAAATGTTCAAAAATGATTAAATCACATATTTTTCAATCTTTACTACAATTTTATGAGAAAATTTTTATTGGCCTTAATTTATATAGATCTTCCCGTTCTAACCAGAAGAACAGTCTATGATACTTTATTTCGTTGATTAAAGGTAATTTGAAGATTATATTTCCGGTTACATTTAAGAATAAAATTATTTCCTCATGTAATTCTTGAACATAACTCTAAATAAACCTGTGAAAGACTATGAATTTCTCAAAAGCCTCCTAGGGAAATTTCTCAATAATCAAGCGAAGAGGAATGTGAGGAAGAAACTTATTGATAAATAAAAAAATTAATTTATAGAATTTTACATAAAATTTAAAAAGTTTGCTTACAACATCAATCACAAAAATAAAAAAATATATACGCCTGCAATTTCAACATTCATCAGCTTAATAGAAAGCGACGCAGTAGAAAGGGAAGTTGAAGTGAGGTGAGGTGTGAGGTGTGGGAGTTGTTGGCGTTGTTGTAGGAGAAGATGAGGTGGGGGGGGG